AACTGGGGGGAGGGTCTTAAAGGAGCTTGGGGGAGGCCCATAGGGAGTTTGGAGTGTTCCTGGACTGTGGGGTGTCCAGGGAATCGCGATTTCCTTCTGTCCCACGTAGCTCATCTTTGCGCTCCCCAAATTGTGCGATTGTCCCAGCGCGCACCCTGTTCCTTCCATACACCCATAAGCACAACACCCTCAGGGGTCACAAGCACCCAACTCCGGGGTGGTGGCAGTGGGGACACACACCCCTCTTATCATGTCCCCGCTCAAGGACTTGGGGACAACCCCTGGGCCACCTTGTCACTTCTGGGAGGTTGAGGGACCCCCCTCCTCTGTACAGACACCCGTGGGTGCTTGGCAGGGTTTAGGGTGTCTGAGTGTGTGCCTGTGGTGCCTTGGGGGGACCCCCCTGCTTGTGAAGTTCATACTGGGAAGAGCCTTTAACCTCACTGGGTTGCTGGAGCATCTGCAGGCACTCGCTTTTTCCTTTAATTAAAGAAGTTTGATTTAGACACCACAACCCCTTAATTATGGGGGTTGGGGGGGGGGACACAAGCATCTCCCTCATCCTTCTGTCCCCTTTGCAGCATGACCGACTGGGAGACGGCTCCTGCCGTCACCGAGACCCCCGACATCAAACTCTTCGGCAAATGGAGCACCGACGACGTGCAAATCAACGACATCTCTCTCCAGGTATAATTTTTTTAGGGGGGTGGGAGCATAAAGGGGACGTAACGGGGGTTCCTGTATCCCTCCCGTCGACGGGAGGAGTCTGACCTCATATTCTGCCAGGATTACATCGCCGTGAAGGAAAAATACGCCAAGTACCTGCCGCACAGCGCCGGGCGCTACGCGGCCAAGCGTTTTCGTAAAGCCCAGTGCCCCATCGTCGAGCGTCTCACCAATTCCATGATGATGCACGGCCGCAACAATGGCAAGAAGTTAATGACCGTGCGCATCGTTAAGCACGCCTTCGAGATCATCCATCTGCTCACGGGGGAGGTAAGATGGGGGTTTGGGGTGGTTTTGGGTGCTGGAGAGTTTATTTTTGGGGAGTGCTGATGTCTTTCCCTGCTTGTCTTCCGGCAGAACCCTCTGCAAGTCCTGGTTAACGCCATCATTAACTCCGGACCCCGGGAGGACTCGACCCGTATCGGTCGCGCCGGAACCGTCCGTAGACAGGCCGTGGACGTGTCTCCGCTGCGCCGCGTCAACCAGGTAAACCCCGGGGGGGCTGCCTGTCCAGCGTCCCTTTTTCTGTCCCCAGCGTCCCTTTTTCTGTCCCCAACGTCCCTTTTTCTGTCCCCCCCTCTCCCCAGGCCATTTGGCTGCTGTGCACCGGAGCCCGTGAAGCCGCTTTCCGGAACATCAAAACCATCGCTGAGTGCTTGGCCGACGAACTCATCAATGCCGCCAAGGTGAGGAGGGGGACAGAATTGTCACCCCTGTCCCCTTCCCTCACGAGTTGGGGACGCAAAGGACCCCTCCCCAAATTGACTCACACCCATCTCGCCCCCTCCCCAGGGCTCTTCCAACTCCTACGCCATCAAGAAGAAGGACGAGCTGGAGCGTGTGGCCAAGTCCAACCGTTAAAAAACCACCATTGTCACCCCCCCACAATAAAATTTACTTGTTTTAAGTCCCCCCCCTCGATTTTTCCCTGTGCTGTGGGGCTGAGG